GCTTTCTATTTTATATTAGCAATTTTGTGTTACTATTTAAACCCAACACATTTTCGATAACATTTGTTAATGAAAATTATATTTGCTCATTTTTTACAATTCAAATAATTATGACTATTATTCTTGGTGAATTAACATATCACTAAAAGGAAATTGTATTTAGGGGTTAAAAGGTAATTTCAAAGAAGCTCTTAAGCAAATGAATGAACAAAAATCAGTTGTCAAATATAACCGACTATAAATCCGAAGACTGAAGGCCATGAGACTCGTTCTTCACTGCAACAAAATCGCTCCTCTGTCCTGTTATTGATTCTTAATTTCTTTTCACATCTGTTATCGATCTAAGATCCTGAAATGTTTGATCAAAACTAATGAAATTCCTCGCACAATTATACCAAATCGGTTGCCAAATTGAACAAAGATAACGTAAAAAAGTAGAGATGAGGAAAGAAGTGATAGTCGGAGCGTCCGTGGCGACGGTGGCGACAGTAGTGGTGGCCGGAGTGCTGTTGGCTCGTTGGAAGAAACGAGATGAGAGACGGTGGAGACAGACGCAACGGATACTACGTAGATTCGCTAGAGACTGCGCCACTCCGGTGCCGAAGCTATGGCATGTTGCGTTCGATTTGGTTTCCGATATGCAAACGAGCCTCTCCGATCAATCTCAGACGGATTTCGTCATGCTTCCATCTTACACCTCCTCGCTTCCCAACGGGTAATCTCTTCTAACCCTACGATTCAGATACTTAATAATCGACATCGTAATTTCTGAGAACGCGATCGTATCTGTTTCAATCACATGAATCAAACAAACTATTAGATTGAGTTGTGCATTGTATATTGAAATCTCTTCACATATTATATAGTTTCTGTATCATTTTGTGTTTCATTGTTCTTCGTTTTTGGTGTAGTAATGAGGAAGGTTTGTATTACGGGGTGAATTTACGTGAAGATAATTTCTTATTGTTGAGTGCGCGGCTTAGAGGAAAACACGAACCGATCACTGATTTGCAAAGAGAAGAAGTCGATATCCCCACTGAAGTCATTTCCGGTAGTTTAAAGGTACATTATCATCGGATTTCAACCATTTATTATGCTATAGATGAAATTGATTCCACAAATTTTGAATTATGGATCTGAATACTGTGTGTAACAGGAACTGTTCGATTTCATAGCATTGAAGCTAGCTGTGTTCATTTCAACAAAAACAAAAACAGATCCAATTGCTCCAAAAGGAAAACTAGGGTTCACTGTGTCATTTCCATTACTTGAAGGACCTGCGGCAGCTGCAACTAGCAAAAACGTTATACGATGGAAATCCTTCTCTGTTAACGACGCAGTTGAGTCCAAATTTTACTCAAATCAACACCAATCTTATCAAATCTTCTTTCTTCCATTACGAATTTAACATTTACATTATACCAGGTCGGAAAAGAATTAGCACATGAAGTCAATGAAGCGTTGGGAAAACATGGAATCGATTTACGAGTTTCTGCATTGGTAATCTACTAATCTACTAATCTTCATTGTTCATGTTATATAATCTCATCTGTTTCCATTAATGGATAATCACAGGTAGATGCTACGTTAGGGGATCTCGCCGGAGGTCGGTATTACAACCGGGAAAGTGTCGCCGCCGTTACTCTTGGGCTAGCTACTAACGCCGTTTACGTCGAATCAGCTCAACTCAGCCCTAACGCCGGCGAATCAAAATTGGGCGAAATGGTTTCTTTTCATTTTTTTCTTCATTTCTGAATTCTTTCACATAATCTACAACAAAATTATAATCACTAAATCGATTTCAGGTAATCGATATGCAATGGGGCAATTTCAATACTCCACATCTTCCGATAACAGAATTTGACACAGCTTTAGATTCTGAGAGCTCAAATCCTGGATGTCGGGTACGAAACTTTTCTTCTTCTTCTTCTTCTTCTTTACGTTGATTTTCCGATATCGTAATAATGTTAATTTGATTGTTTGTTTAATTTATGATTTCAGATGTTTGAGAAACTGATCGGAGGGATTTATCTAGGAGAAGTGGTGAGGAGAGTTTTGCTTAAAATGGCGAGAGAAACTGCAATTTTTGGTGAAAGTGTTCCGGCTAAACTCAAAACGCCGTATACTTTGCGGTCGCCGGACATGGCTGCCATGCATCAAGATACATCGGAAAATCGGGACGCCGTTCACGAGAAGCTCTTGGAAGTTTTTGGGGTAAATACTAAATACCAAATTCAAATCATGTCTTGTTTTATAGTACTAATTTATAGAGTTTTTTTAATAACCAAGTTGATTCAAATATATCATGATATCCATTATAACATTATCAATTATTTTCTTGAAATAATTATTTATTAATTTATAAAAACAAATCTACGATAAACTCTAAATATAAGTTTATAGTTCAACCTTAATATTTATTTTTTTAAAAGAAAAGTCCGGATTATATAATTTTATACGATATTTAGTTATTTTATGTTGAAAAAAATAATGTTTGTTA